GAAGTATTCTTCGGTGGTAAAGGTTGTATATATGTCTCTATAGTGGGAATATAACTTTGATTGGGTTATTCTTGTTAGGTCGTTTTGTATTGTTTGCTCTATCGCAGTTCTTAATATTCCAGGGATAGCATTCCTTAGTGAGTCAGGATCATTACAATAAGTAAGCCACGAGGATCCGTTATTATTAAGTAAATTGCTTAATTGTTTTATAAAACCGATGGGCGCACCTGTAGCACAGGATAATTGCCTCATTCTAGTTAAACAAATTCGAGGCAGTCTATTTGTATCCATACTCAGCACCCTCAGCCAATATTTCAAGGTCAATTTCAGAGCTGTTATTATTAATGAGACGCGGCCTGTTTCTGGTCTTATTATGTATCCTGGTGTATATCTAGGCAAATTCAAAAACCTACGAATAAATGTATCTTGTATATGGTCTAATAAATCTTTATACTCTGTTGCCCAAATTGGAGCAGCATACATCAAAACAGCCATCACAATTGAGTCAAACAGTTTCATTGCAGAGTTTAGTGAATTAATTTTTGATTTCGCCAATATTGGGGTTGTAGCATTTATTGCCGCAAGTGCTTTTCCTTTGAAAAAGTTTGCGGTTTGAGTGGTTTTAGTTGTACTGACCAGAGGGTATCCCAAGTAGATATATCTTCTTGTTACCATCAGAGGTTTACCATTCCAGTACCATCTATCTTCTCTTGAGGGTTTACCACCATTGCGAAATACCATAACCTTCGATTTGGACTCGTTCAGTGTCATTTCGTTCACACCAAGATATTCCTTCAATATATTAATCTTTTTTTGGAGGTTTACCCTCGACTCCCCTATAATAGCAATATCATCTGCGTACATCAGCAGGTGAACATCACCAAATTCCGGAAGGTATACACTCGTCAGATCTGAGTTGTCATACATTTTAATCAGGTCCGTCATGAATAATATAAAAAGTAATGGCGATAGTGGCTCTCCTTGTAAAACGCCCGAATGTATCTTAATATTTTCTGTAATTGAACCCCTCCATCTGACTGCCACAGTCGCCTGTTCGTAGTAATTTCTAATTGCATGTATAAATTGATAGCTTACGCCCAGATTGGTTAATTTCTTCCAGAGTAATGAGTGAGGAACTGTGTCAAATGCTTTTCTCAAATCAACAAAAAATACATATAATAGGGTGGTAGCAAATAGAAAAGTGTACATTTTAATAAAAGGTAGGATATTTTAAGGCATCTGCTCTAACTAATTGGGAGATATGTGACATATACTAGAAGTGTCATTATTATACAGTTTTAAAATATACGATAGAATGTGCCCCCGGTGATGAAGGTTTGTTTGGGAGAAATGAAATAACATGAATGATGACCTAACAAACCTATTATAAAATCAAAAGAAATAATTTGAGTACAAATTAGTTACAGTTATTATAAATATAGGAGTATAAAATAGGAGAATAATATAATGATGACGTCTCAAAAAGATATAGAATATGATGAAAGAAAAATACATAATAATAAATGATAAAATTGAGAAAATATTCAAAATAAAATTAGAAATACCGTAAAAGTAATTTACTTATAGAAAATAAAATTGAGAACCTATTGAATGGAAAAATAACTAAAAGAAAAGTATAAAGCTTATTAAGTTGAACCAAGATTATAAGTTGACGCAGTGGGTTGATGAGGGTATATGGGATGTCTGAGCATGTTCCTGCAAAGAAATAGCTTAATGAGTTCTGCAATGCAGTACGAACTTGTGTTAGTGAGGTACTGTTTTCATTAACAGAACGTTCAAGATATTCAGTCTGCATTATTAGTTCAGACTAGCAGGGAGAGGTATGTAGGTTGAAGAATGTGGAAAGGTAAAGGTAAACGCAAGAGATGTACTGCTGCCAATAATGATGGTACCCGGCTTGTATGATGAAAAAAAAAAAAGATAAAAATGATAAAAATGATGAACCGTGTAATGAAAAGAAAAAAAAAAAGAGTCTAGCTGGGTATCCTGAGCTCACTATTGGGAACGATATAGCGAAGAAGGATGTTTCCAGTTGGATTAATAAAAAATAATTCTGGCGAGCAAGAATCTCTTGAGGGGAATATATGGGATTTAGGAATGAAGAAAGGGAAGGTAGTTGCAAGGGTTGTTCTGTTGCCAATGATGATTTCACCCGACCTGAATGGTAATAAAAAAAAAGAAGAAAATGATGATTGGTAATGATGAGCCAGGTGATAAGAAAAATAATCTAGCTGGGTATCCTGAATTCACTATTGGGAATGATATAGCGAGGAAAGATTTCTCAGTTGGATTAATCAATGAAAAAAAATGTTTGGCGAACAGGAAGCCCTTGGGGTAATGCGTGAGAAGGTATGGGCTGGCGAGGTTAGGAGACGTCAACGATAAAATTAGAAAAACTAAATAGATAAAATATCTATATATATAAATGAATGTATGTGTGTGTCCTGGTTCAAATCACATTAATAGGTACCGCTCAGCAAGAGCAACCTGGTTCATGATAATTGAACAATAAATAATATGTGAAGGTAATTCACATATTAAGCAATTTTTAACACGGGATTCAATCCCGGTTCATAACTGTCGGGAATCGAGCGTGTTACCCTCTCATCCACCGACTTTTATATATGTGTCTGTCCTTTATGCCTGACCAAACCACTCATTGGAACGCCATGAAACTTTGGGAAGTTATTTAGTATAGTACTGGGAAGGTTTCTAGCAAATAAAATTTTTGAAATAACTTTTCGCCTAAAAATAATCAAGATAAATATTCTAATTTATCTGTTATAATTCAACAATCTGCTCTGAATATTATCATGATGATACGATGATTTTGTAATGTAGAAAATTAGAAAAGACAAAATTCAGGATGACACGGCAATTTATTTGAGACAAGAATAATGATACAATTCCAAGGCAAGATACTATTCCTTTAACTTCCAATTACCGAGGGAACCAATTAATATTGATTTTATTCAACTTATCGAGTATTTTTCAAGGGACCGGGAAAAAATGTTCACTAGATAAAACTATGATTTTCTAATGTAGAAAATTAGGAAAGACAAAATTCAGGATGACAAGGCACACAGGGACCGGGAAAAAATGTTCACTTTATCGAGAAATTCAAATTTACGAGTTTCAAATTATCAAAATATATCTTTTTTTATTTTTTAATAAGTTTTTAGAGAATTGTTTTAACAAATGTTCGTTAGACAAACCTTTACTCGGGTAAAACCCGGGCGAAGCCGGGTACATCCGCTAGTACAGTGATTCTCAACCTTTTTTTTGTTGCGGCATTATTTTAAAGATTTGAAAATTTGGCGGCACAATTTTAGAATTTCGCGGCACACTTTTGCTAACTTGAATGCAAGAAAATTCAAATTATGTATCAATATTTCTATGCAAAATATAAGTAATATACATCTCTAACATTCAATTTGTGCTAATTTCGTTATTTTAAAAAGTAAAAAAATGAAAAAGAAAAAAAGAAAAACCAATACAAACTTGAACATAATCATATGACTAAAATTCGGCGGCACATTTTTAGAATTTCGCGGCACACAAAATTACCGCGGCACATTGGTTGAGAATCACTGCGCTAGTATATAAATAAAAAGATCTTAACAATTTAAAAATATTATTAACTTTGTCAATATATTAAAAGTTTAAAAATGATTAGAAATATGGTTGAAGTCACAATATGTGTGTAATAAGCCTAGAGATGCTGAAGAATACGATTTGAATTTAAAAAAAAAGAAAAGATATAATAAGTTGTTGATGACTGACGGCATTGCTAATGATGGTTAAATGAAACACAAAATAATAATAATGAATAATATAATTGATTAATGTTGAAATATTTTATACACATCTGAGGTAATATTAATTTAAATAGCATTGGGGCAGGTAAAGTGAAGAGCTTAATGAATATATAATAAAAATGATATTGTGCCATAAATAGATTGAATAGTTAATTCAGAGCGGGAGGAAATAAAAACGGAGATAGTGTAACATTGATAGAGTTCTGTAGAGAAAATTCTCCTATCAGATGGATGATGTCTTTAATGGGTCTTATGGAATCGCTTGCGATGAGGCTAGGTGATCACTTTTTGCGGTGGTTGCCATGGGACATCGTCGGTGCTGGTTGGCGGAGCAATGCCAGGATTTCTCGATGAATCTTATCTGCCTGTTCGAGCAGATGGAGGAAGATGTTCGTGGCGCAAGAAATGTCGATGGGGAGATGATGAATTCCTCGGTGCGAGGTACAGCTAGTGCTCGCATGGCGTCTTTGATATGGTCTACTGGATCGTCAAGGTGGAGGGCAAGTAGAAGGAGCATCCACACGACTGCGCCGTTGACCACCGGTGCCTCTGTCATCCTCTGCATGCCGCCGTCCTCAGTTATCCTGTCGACTTTCTGTAATATTGTTGCAAATGTGCCGACGTATGGATGAACTGGCAGTCGTGTACGTGAGGCGAGTGTTGATGTTCTTCCCACACGCGGACAACAAGAAGCAGAGGCAGGGCTAGATGTTAACACCGAGAGTGATCGGGAACAGCCCACGGGACAGAGGTAGAGGCCATGACACAAACTTGGATGCTTATCCCCGAGACATGGAGGGAGGGACTGTATTTGTGAAAGACAGCAGCCGTCTATCGATGGCCACCCTCCAGAACATCTGCTGACCCCCTGCCTAAAACCTGTCTTGTTTTCAGGGATCGTCTATAAAGAGTCCCTGGTGGCCCCACATGGGCTGGGCGTTGGCTTTTCCTCCCCTCTGTCTCTACTAGCAGCTGACCGCTCTCTCTTTGGATCTTTATTTTGATGTCAACATTTTTAGTTTTACATACAGATAGGGGTTTACAGGTATTATTAATAAAGATTAATATATATACAGTTATCAGAGTCATCAACAATCAATAATTCTGTCACCGTTTGCTTCTGTGAATGGAATAAATACCCAAATATTGTCATTTTTAAAAGCATCGGTGGTTCAGTGGTAGAATGCTCGCCTACCACGCGGGCGCCCCGGGTTCGATTCCCGGCCGATGCATTTTTATTTTTTACAATTTTTAAAACTCATTTATATTATTAAAATATATATCCAAGGATAAGGCACAATTTGGTTTATAGATTACTAGCGGACCCGCCCGGCTTCGCCCGGGTTTTACCCGAGTAAAAGTTTGTCTAACGAATCTCTCGATAAAGTGAACATTTTTTTCCCGGTCCCTTGAAAAATACTCGATAAGTTGAATAAAATCAATATTAATTGGTTCCCTCGGTAATTGGAAGTTAAAGGAATAGTATCTTGCCTTGGAATTGTATCATTATTCTTGTATGGATGTACCCGGCTTCGCCCGGGTTTTACCCGAGTAAAGGTTTGTTTAACGAATATCTCGATAAAGTGAACATTTTTTCCCGGTCCCTTGAAAAATACTCGATAAGTTGAATAAAATCAATATTAATTGGTTCCCTCGGTAATTGGAAGTTAAAGGAATAGTATCTTGCCTTGGAATTGTATCATTATTCTTGTATGGATGTACCCGGCTTCGCCCGGGTTTTACCCGAGTAAAGGTTTGTTTAACGAATCTCTCGATAAAGTGAACATTTTTTCCCGGTCCCTTGAAAAAATACTCGATAAGTAGAATAAAATCAATATTAATTGGTTCCCTCGGTAATTGGAAGTTAAAGGAATAGTATCTTGCCTTTGAATTGTATCATTATTCTTGTCTCAAATAAATTGCCGTGTCATCCTGAATTTTGTCTTTCCTAATTTTCTACATTACAAAATCATCGTATCATCATGATAATATTTAGAGCAGATTGTTGAATTATAACAGATAAATTAGAATAATTATCTTGATTATTTCTAGGCGAAAAGTTATTTCAAATATTTTATTTGCTAGAAACCTTCCCTGTACTATACTAAATAACTTCCCAAAGTTTCATGGCTATCCAATGAGTGGTTTGGTCAGGCATAAAGGACAAACAAACAGACATACATTCATTTTTATATATATAGATATTAACAGTAATTAAACGTAACAGTAAGAAAATGTTGATTTTAAAATATTTTAATTTTAAAATATTTTAAATATGTAAATAGAGTCTCTTAAGAAAGACCACCTAAAAACATGAATCAACTTGTTTCTCCTGTTGGTGGTCTCTCATTGAAGATTCTAATTGCTATTAAAGAATCTCTAATAGACCTTTAATAAGAGACTGCCTCTTGGAGAGACGGTGTAGCTACGAAATGGATATTCCCGGCTTCGCCCGGATTTTACCCGAGTAAAGGTTTGTCTAACGAATCTCTCGATAAAGTGAACATTTTTTCCCGGTCCCTTGAAAAATACTCGATAAGTTGAATAAAATCATTATTAATTGGTTCCCTCCGTAATTGGAAGTTAAAGGAATAGTATCTTGCCTTGGAATTGTATCATTATTCTTGTCTCAAATGAATTGCCGTGTCATCCTGAATTTTGTCTTTCCTAATTTTCTACATTACAAAATCATCGTATCATCATGATAATATTTAGAGCAGATTGTTGAATTATAACAGATAAATTAGAATATTTATCTTGATTATATCTAGGCGAAAAGTTATTTCAAAAATTTTATTTGCTATAAACCTTCCCAGTACTATACTAAATAACTTCCCAAAGTTTCATGGCGATCCAATGAGTGGTTTGGTCAGGCATAAAGGACAAACAGACATACATTCATTTATATATATATAGATAAACACAAGGTAATAAGACCAAATCTAAGGATAAGGTACAATTTGGCTTATTGATTATAAACACAAGGTAATAAGACCAAATCCAAGGAAAAGGTACAATTTGGATTATTAATAATATATACATTGTAGGATTAAAACTCTTAAAATCACGATCATTAAAAAACAATAATAAACATTAAGAGGAGCCTCTTGTGTAAATTTCTTTAATACCGCAAGCTTTCGAACAAAACGTTCTTCAACGGGCGTGGATAGTAAACAGTACTAACGTTAGTACTGTTTACTATCCACGCCCGTTGAAGAACGTTTTGTTCGAAAGCTTGCGGTATTAAAGAAATTTACACAAGAGGCTCCTCTTAATGCTTATTATTGTTTTTTATTAATATATACAGTTATCAGCGTCATGCACAATTATTTTTTTTATCAATTCTGTCACCGTTTGCTTTTGGTTCAGAGGAAGAATGCCACGCGGGCGCCCCTGGTTCGATTCCCGATCCGATGCTTTTTTTTTTTTTGCACAATTTTTAAAACTCTCATTTATATTATTAAAATATATGTGCTTTTCCTGTCTATGTACAGATTTATGGTCTATGTACACAAGTAAACAAGTATGTATACAAGTTATTTGCAGATTGCGTTGCAAATTTGCCCTTTCGCTCGCAAGCAGCGCCTCTAGCGGTAAAAGATGGGAGGTAATATTAGCTGACCTAATAGACATGTAAAACGTGTTTTAACAGGACATAGAGAAAAATCTGGAAAAGATATTTTTCGGATTTTTAGTCAAGAAAAGTAAATTGACAGGTTCTGAGAAAAAGTAGTTGTTTTTTATTCAGAAAATGATGATGACAATATTGCTGTATCATATTTGATTATCAGATACAAAATTATATCCGGAAAAATTCCAAAAAGCAGAGACCACGGGTGAAGCCAGTTCATTTTTAGTATGCAGGAACAAAATTCGAACAGAAAAACATTCATTCTAGCAGAAGACACAAAGCCAGATCATCTCTTTATAAAAATATCGTTTCTCAGACACAAAGTTTGGAGCGGGACGTTTCACAAGAATGACATCCATGGCGCCAATTTATAATTGTAACGAATAGTATTTGAATAAAACATTTAATAGGGTAAAACCCGGGCATTGCCCTTTCTTAATCAATTCTGTCACCGTTTGCTTTTGTGAATGGAATAAATACCCAAATATGGCCATTTCTCATAACCATCGGTGGTTCAATGGTAGAATGCTCGCCTGCCACGCGGGCGGCACGGTTCGATTCCCGGCCGATGCATTTTTTTCTACAATTTTTAAAACTCATTTATATATTATACAAGAATGATATCCACGGCGACAATTTATAATTGTAACAAATTGTATTTGAATAAAAGCATTTAATCGGGTAAACCCCGGGCGTTGCCCGGGTCATTCGGCTAGTTAAAATATACAAGTATCAGAGTCATCAACAATTCTGTCACCGTTTGCTTTTGTGAATGGAATAAACACCCAAATATGGCCATTTCTTATAAACATCGGTGGTTCAGTGGTAGAATGCTCGCCTGCCACGCGGGCGGCCCGGGTTCGATTCCCGGCCGATGCATTTTTTTTTACAATTTTTAAAACTCATTTATATGGCGCAAGCCATCAGCAACTTTCACTTGCACGATAAGGAGATGCCTTTTTCTTAATTTATGCACCTTATCCCAGTACAATGTCACATTTGTACTATTTTTTTCACATTGTGTAGCGTTCTCACGCAAATCTGGCCTTAACTACCCGTTTCATGATTTTTCAGGATGCCTTAATGACCAAATTTTTTGGTCGTTGAAGTACAGCTTGCACCACGCTGATGAGGGCCAACAGCCCGAAACGCGTCCGTGGTTAGCTTTTCTTGATTAATCAAGAATGGGTATTTGGCCAATTCTGGAATAATTAAAAATCAACGAGAATAGTTGATATTTATTCCGATAGATGGCGCAAGCCATTAGCAACTTTCAATTTCACGATAAGGAGATGCCTTTTTCTTAATTTATATATTACATATAATACAAATAAATATATTATTATATCAACTATATTAATTAAATCAAATACCTAAACACTAATATAATACAATTTTTGCCATCACACACACTTTTTTCCTGTAGTTTATGTGTTACTTCTGTATTGCTATTCTATGGAACTTCTAATATTTATTATTGATATACTTTTAGTATGAAGGAAATTGCACCCAAGGGATTTCTCGGGCGAAGCCGGGTCATTCGCCAAGTCTCTATATATATATAAAAGTCAATGTCTGTCTTTTTCGCGATAAACTCAAAAACTACTGAACCAATTAGTACCAAATTTTGCATGTCGCTTTTTATAACCCTGAGGAAAATTTTCGGCTACATTTTGATTAAAATTTTTGGTTATTTATTTTTTTCATTTAAAGAACTTTTTTTACGCGGAGTAAATACGAGGCAAACTAACAACACCAGGTCAATTAAGAGACCAATGAGCGTTCTGCATTTTTTTCAAGTTGTTTGCGTACTTTAAAAAAAATATATATTTTCATTTCTTATCTTATCTTCTTATCTCTCCAAAAAAAAATCGTTTAAAATGCAGTCGCAGTCATTACCAAACACATATGTTTGCCTAATTTCCATATGCTCTTTTATTTTTTACAGAAAAATATTCACATGTCAGTATTTTGGATTAATTTTTTTATAAACCTATTTTTTCTTATTCCTACTTAGAAGATGGACATCGCAGTCACTCACTCAACTCAGACAATTTCATGGGTGGGACTGCTACTATTTATTATTGATGTACTTTCAGTATGAAGGAAATTGCACTTGGGGGAATTCTCAGGCCAAGCCGGGTCATTCTTCTAGTTATCTATATATATATAAATTAATGTATGTGTGTGTGTCCTTTATGCCTGACCAAACCACTCATTGGAACGTCATGAAACTTCGGGAAGTTATTCAGTATAGTACTGGGAAGGTTTCTAGCAAATACAATTTTAGAAATAACTTTTCGCCTAAAAATAATCAAGATAAATATTCTAATTTATCTGTTATAATTCAACAATCTGCTTTAAATATTATCATGATGATACGATGATTTTGTAATGTAGAAAATTAGGAAAGACAAAATTCAGGATGACACGGCAATTTATTTGAGACAAGAATAATGATACAATTCCAAGGCAAAATATACTATTTCTTTAACTTCCAATTACCGAGGGAACCAATAAATATTAATTTTATTCAATTTATCGAGTATTTATCAAGGAACCGGGAAAAATGTTCACTTTATCGAGAGATTCGTTGGACAA